CGTTTACCATTACAAATCTTTGCTATATGTCAAAATCTCAAGCAGTTTAGACGCTGGACAACGGGGTATATACATAGATGGTTCCACTTCAAAAACACATATGATTCGAATGGTTTGTGGGAGATTGTTATTTTCCTTTTCATACGTTTCACTTCGGTAATTTTAAGATTAGACACATATTTTCCTTCAAAAATTCTTCCGTGAAGTACGTATCAACCATTTTTACCACACCTTTTTTGTGGTTGAAAAAGATTGGAATGTATGCTACTAGATTATTATTGGTTATACATTGATGGTTGATAAGCAAGTTTGCGATTGAAAATGTTTTGAATATCACTTTGAACCTTGTCCCTATTGCTTTTATATCCGTAATGTCTCTCCTGAATTCTGGCACTTGTTGGAGGTAGTGGCCAACCCTTATGGGGAAAGGTCTTCTAACGTTTTTTGTTTTATATTCGATATATACGAAAATGGGCTTGTATCTGTAGTTGTATAGGGTCCGCCAAAGGAACCTGACGTTTTCAGAATGGATAGTACGAAGCTGTTTTTTGACGTAGAACATCGGTTACAGTGAGCAAGACATCGGTAGTAGATGCCATTTCAGTAGTCATGGAGCTGTGGACAAGTGAACATCACGCATTTGTTGTCGAGACGTATTTTAAAAATCACGACTCGGTGATCATTACACAGCATCTATTTCGTACACAAGTCAATGTCGGACGTCATGGTTCTGTTCCATGCCGTAACACATTTAAGTTGTGGGTCAAAAATTTTCGTCGATCTGCATCAGCAATGAAAGCTAAGCCACCAGGAATGCGTCGAACAGTTCGGACTCCAGCCAATATTGAGAGGGTGCGAACAGCGGTGCAGCTAAGTCCACGTCATTCAGCTAGGCTACAAGCAATTAATCTAAGGCTTTCAGAAACAACAGTGCGGCGTATTTTGCATAAGGATTTACATTATCACCCTTACAAATTAGCGATGGTTCAAGAACTGACAGCTGAAGACTTTGTGAAACGTTTGACTGCAAGCAACCAGCTTCTGGAACTTTTGGATGAAAACGCTTTAGGTGGCTTAATTATGTCTGATGAGGCGCATTTCGGGTTATCAGGCTACGTAAATAAGCAGAATTTTCGCTACTGGTGTGCAGAAAACCCGAGAGAACTTCACCAGCGACCCCTTCATAGTCGCAAGGTTACTGTTTGGAGCGGAGTGTCGCGATTCGGCATAATTGGACCCTATTTTTTTGAGGACGATGCTGGAAATTCGGTCACGGTCAATTCGCAACGTTATCTGGAAATGTTAAACACATTTTTGGAACCAGAGTTTCGTCGACGGAACATAGATTTGAATATTGTATGGTTTCAGCATACAGCGCATACAGCACGAGCAACAATGGTTCGACTGCGAGAAATGTTTCCAGGAAGAGTCATTTCGCGGAATGGAGATGTTCCTTGGCCGGCAAGGTCTCCCGATCTCACGGCTTGTGACTATTGGTTATGGGGTTATCTCAAAAGCAAGGTGTATTTAACGAGTCCAAGGACCATTGAAGAATTGAAGGAAAACATTCGCAATGAAATTAGCGCGATTCCGATGAGTATGGTACAGCGCGTACTGGGGAATGTGCGAAACCGTTTGGAAGAGTGTGTCCGCAGTGAAGGACATCATTTGACCGAAGTTATTTTCCATACATAAAATGGCATGTAATACACTTTCGATTACTTATATATGAAAATAAATATCTTGAAAGATACATTTGTAGTTTCATATTGAAACTCATCAGGTTCCTTTGGCGGACCCTGTATAAGTACTCTTGAAATCACTGGCGGATTTAGAGGGGGGCGCGCGCCCCCCTAGACGTCTGACATTTGCTTTTGCAATCTAACACCATTGTGTTACTTTCTGTCACATCATGGTGACAGAGGCATACTAACTATAAGTTATAGCTATATGAACTGAGCATTATGATTTTTTGGTATCCTTTGGCATTCCAAATGCTGTCCCTCTTTAACATCACTTGTTTACAGCACAACTCTTACGATTTATACGCACCTATATACGAGTATTGTGACTTGTGACAAATCCAAGTCTGGGTAATATATTAGCTATGCAGATTGCACTTAAAAAGTGGTTTATGTTCTGTTTGTTGCTCAATAGTAATTTGAAAAGAGTGTAAAGCTTGACTGATTTTGTTCGGGGTTGGTGTTGCAGCGAAGCACTATGTTAGACGAATGCCTAAATTGGAAATAGACAATATAATATTCAATTCGTTTAAATCACAGAGCTGCTGCACTAAACGTGAATATGTACAGCCCTGAATTCCTGTACTTGTTTAGTACAAACATACATTATCAAAATAATTGCGATCTAAAAGATACAGTTTTTTCCAAGGATTTCCAACACCGGTTCGAAAACTGAGAAAACAACTATGCCGTAAATCTAAGTTCGACAACGAAAGTCTGAAAAATAACTAACATCTATATTGAATTTCAAGAACCCCAACCCCTACTGAGCCGGGCCGTGGCAAATGCTTGTTCCGGAAGTTGTATCCAGCATACAACTTCTTCCCGTACAAGTGATTGTACACGCGTTAAGGAATACCTCAGTAGCGATTGCTGGGTGGCGGTACAAGTCCGACAAGGGGCCACTTTAGGTCTATTTAATATCATTAACACGTAAAAAGAAGATGGTAGACAAGGACCAGTCGACCGAGGCCGTATCACCCTATAGCTTTTCCCAAGGTGTATTATAAATGTTCGCATGTTTCCACACGTAAGCTATACAGTCGGTTATCTTCCAAAACAAAGAAATTAATGATGATGGATCCCTCGAGTACTAAGAATTCCGGATGTAAGCTCACTCCACTCTCAGAATGTCCGGGTGGAGGGTGGAGTCGAGGGAACAATATCGAAGATAAAATTTGTTTCACGAACATCTGCGGGAGTAACAGCAACATTGATGCTGTTCATCACTACTTGCAATCCAATTGTCCCGCCATGCTTCTCTTGGCGGAGACAAAAATCTCAGAGTCCGCACCGATTAACCATCTTAGCTTACCAAATTACGAGGTGTACTCCAATCTGAGAAAGAACGGGGGAGTTGTGGCCTTTGTCCGTAGCAGTCTTTCCTGCTGCAGAGATGTTTCTCTGGAATCAAACCGGAAGGACATTCTGTGGCTTCACCTCAACTCCAAAACATCCCCAGCCTTTATCGTTCCCCTCGGCCCATAACTGGGATGACCTTCTTGAATACCTCGCCGTCAAGATCGACTTCCTGAACATCAATCACTCCGCTTCAGAGGTAGTTCCCCTCGGTGATTTCAATAACCATAATTTACTTTGGTTGGGCTCAAAGAAGACCGATGCAGCAGGTCGTGCAGTTAAAGCATTCGCTGTTACTCAAGGGCTGACCCAGCTGGTGACGGGCCCTACTTTTTTTGCCCCGCGTCTCGTCACATACCAGTATCCTGCTGGATCTCTTTCTGACCAGGCATTCTGTCCCTTACAGCTCTGCTGTCCTGTCGGCCCTGGGTAACTCAGACCACTGTGTTGTGGAGGTTAGGTTTCGGTCAGAACCCGCTGTTTCAGCAGAAACTCGCATAGGCCGCAAAATTTGGCATTACGGACATATCGACTGGGAGGGGCTCAGAGACTTCTTCTATACATTTCCTTGGAGAAATGTCTGTTTCACTGACGCGGATGCGCCGGCTGTCTGTTCTTCGATAACCGAAATTATCCACGTCGGAATGGAGGAATACATGCCTCATACTGCTGATATAATAGAAGTGCTTGATTGTGTCAGTATTTGCACCATTTACTTGTTTTGTTTAATGGGCAGTTCAGAGTATTAATCCTTAAGCTTATTACGTACTAGTAGACCCCGTTGCGCAATTTGTCTATAGGCAGTCTAGAGTCAGTCTCAAGACACGATCTATAGATGGTCTACAGACATCCTTCTTTGTCTTGTCTAGCGTCCATACGATAATGTGAATTTTTTGGTCTCATGTTTGTTTTCGCAATCAAAGACATTGTTTTGTGTGGAATGGACTGGGATATGTCTCGGGGCCCCTCAGAATGTTTTACTTATTTTTGTCGGTTAACAGAACAATGAAGTTTTTTATGTTTGAAACTTTAATATTATTACACTAGTTAATTATAAATGCCACATACTCACTTTTTTCTCATATAATAAAATATTGTCTTTCTGAGGATTTCTGAGCATTTTACACGTTTTTTTTTAGCTGTCCTTGACCAGATAGAACACAATGGATTTGAGGAGCAATAGTAGGATAAATTCCTAGAAGTTCCAGCCCCAAATATCGTTTGCTCCAATTTCGCCCTCTTTATTGGTAACCATATCACTTACCGGAGGGGGCGGCTCTCCAGAGCCGCCCGTCGTTTCACTTATCCTGTAAAGACTCACCAATATGACTTTGTATATTATAACAGAAATATAATAGAAAATAACTCTAATCTTTATGAGATAGTCACAACACGTAGATTGGGGACCACTTTTTCTTAGTTTACACAGAAAGAGGTCTGTCCATGACGAGCGTTCACTCACGACTGATTTTGATGTATTTTTGATAAAAATATCTATACTAAATGGACTCAGTATGAGTGTTCTTTTCCTCAAAGTCTTAATGACAGCGGGCTTGAAAGTTCTATTCTACTATCACTAATTTTTAAATACGGTTCTGTCTAAAATTGACCGATCAAATGCTGTCCGAAAACTGGAAACTAGTCGGCCGAGTAGTAGCACCTTCTGCCCGAATACTGGCAAAACAGCACCTTTTCAATCATAAGAATCATTCGATTGAACTAGTTTATTCGCGAACTACACTCAAATAATTCTGGATCATTTGCAAAGTGACTCAAAATGTTTGAATATATCTTAAAATTTTGCAGTAACGTTTTAATGCATTTCAAGAAAATGTAAATAACGATGGCTGGTATCTTGAAAGGATTTTAGGTGTAGGCTACGAAATGAGAATAATAAACTAATGCCCCCATTAATATATATTCCTTAGACATTGCAATACATAAAGAGAATATTAAAACTCTTATGGACACTTCAAACTTTTTAATCAAATGACAAACGAAATAGTGCAAAGCTATGAGTAAGATGAAAAGTATTGACAGCAAGGACAACGGAATCCAACTGTGCAACTACTAAGTGAACATTTCATAAAAAAAGAACTTTTAAAGCATGGTTTTATGTTATATCAAAATATCTATCACATGAATAACATTTAAACAAATAACCCAATAATTTCCAAGCAGGTAGATATTTTCAAAATTTTATGACAACAGTGTCAATACAACATATCGATTATTACAAGTATACCTTTATAATAATAATAGCATTTATTTGCAGAGCAAAAAAAATACAAATAAAAAATAAAAAATGAAGAAACAACATGGATTCCCTGTAAAAGGGACTAGTAAACAGACGAGCTGATCAAAGTACTAGCCCAACAAAGTTACAACAGAGGAGTTCTTAACCAAATTATATAAGTTAATATTAATAAATAATAATTATTACAAACGTCAAATCATATGACTCAGATTTAACAAAAAAAAAACATTCAAAATATGAAAAGGAAAGGAACAATATAAGGTAAACAATGGAAATGAACATTAAAATCCTAATTCCTAACACAATAATCATGCAATTTTAAAAATGCAAAAACTGTATACACATAAGAATGATTTCATTACAAGTCAAAACCTTCCTATGAATGTTCTTTCGATGATCTAAAATTTGAGCTATTTTGGAAAATCGTGGTTTTTTAAAAATCGCTTCAAAACATGTTCCAATGTTCTAATATTCGAGCTAGATCAAGCTTTCATGGTGTTTAAAATATTGTAACAATACAAAACATTAAAGTGGATATTTTAGGAGCCTGATTTCTAATTTTCCTCTCTGTTATCAACTTTGCATTCTAATCATAGAGTATACTTGTGGTTTGAAACTGAACTGATTTGAAGATGGTATGTTTCAATTTACAATTTATACAAGGTGACCCAGAATATATGTACAATCTTCCGGATTCATGCAAAATACAGTCGATCAAAAAAGTTAAAAAGTCAAATGTTAGAATAATAAGTAGGAGTTATGGAATCCAAGGGTCAAAAAAGTATTGGCACACAAACAACAACAAAATTTATTTACAGCTAATACTTTATTATCATTTTATTTCTGGCGTAATTTGGTCTTATTTCTGCATAAGATCTTGTAGATGTCGTTTCGCAGAAATTTAATTTTTTCAGGGCCAGCAAGTACCGCAAATGTTTAATGGGTTTGATATTCAAGGTTTGGAGGATTGTGCAGCAACATTGCAAAGTAACCCATTCTTTCGTTTTTGAAGTGGTGTGCCTAGACTCGATATCCTGCTGAAAGATAAATGTTTACGTGATCACCATTTTTTCAGCGCTACTGTTCTAGTTCGTGAAACCTGTCCTGAAAGACTTTCAGAAACACAGTCCCCTAATGCTACCGGAAATTAGGTTTTTTTACAGCATAATGACCAATTTGATTCCAATATCCAAATTTCCAGTGGCGTACTATAGGGGCCTGCATTCCCGTATGGGAACCTGTTACAACTTTTTTCTGTTCTGCATGGATCCAAAAGACTCCCAACATACTCTAAGACACCTTGTAGAACACTCTAATGAATATTACGATTCTGAAAGAGAAAATAACAAAGTATTCAGTACTGCTTGGATACATCGGGTTATGCAACTAAATCAGCTGTGATCAACTATCTGTCGGCATCATCGGCCCCATTTCTCTTATTGGCCTCAGCCCTGCGTTTGGCGTTTTGGGGGTCGCACCTGGCCCTGCCCCTGAGCACAGCCTTAGGGGCGTTCGGAGTACTAGGAGGACGCGCTGATGCCTCTTCTTCCTTTTGAGGTTTATCAGGTTTCTCTTCTTCCTCAGCCTTGTCTTCGAGTTTTAACTTGTCCAACTCAGGTATCAATTTCAATAGGTGCTCAGAGCTTGGTACTTGTACTGCAGTTGCTGAGACCAGTTCTTCAACAAAGCAACTACGCTCCATGCGGATTGTGTCATTGCTACTTTTCTGAGCCAGCTCTTCAAGAAGACCTATAATACACATTAATTTAGACACTCCCACGTCACTGGGAAACGATTTTGGGCTTTCACTTTTTTTATTGTACAGACATTAAAACACTTTATAGCAAAAGAATCAAGAACATTCTGGACAAAAAATGAACCGCGATAAAGTGAAAAGTAGTTTAGGAAAAACACAGGATGTTCAAGCAGCTTTCTAAATCGAAGCTATTTTTCGCAGATGATTTGAAGATATTTAGTGAAATTGAAAATTACAGTAACTGTATGGAAACCCAATTACAAATACATTAACAAAAAGAAAATAAAGAGACACATTGAAAAATTAAACTTAGCATCAATTGGCCTAAGTAAGCTCAGAGAACAATCGATGACTTATAGCAATTTATGATTGATTTACAGCTGTCATTATAAATATCGCACACATCATAAATAGAGTTAATCAGACTGCACATTACATAAATTGGAGATTTCAACATTGCGTTCGTCCGGCCTGCTGGACAATAAAAGGCTAATTGTTGACGACTTTCGAGCCTTGGAATGCGGAAATATATTTTTTGTAAATCCGGACAGTCAATTTGATTATGCATAAGGCCATATAAAAACGATAAGGCAAACATATTACGTCTAATTGATAGTGAATCTAAATCGAAAAAATTCAAAAGGGTATGACAAAAACCTCTTTCTGGATAAGAACCAATACATTTAAGGTAAAAATACTTAATAGCCTTACGTTGAATGCCTTCAATCATTGAAACTGAATTTAGGTATATTGGAGACCAGATCAGGGTTGCATATTCCAACTTGCTTCTAACAAAATACTGACATTGGAGAACCCCTTCCAGTTTGTGATACTGAAGCCAAGTAGTCTGATGGCAGCCGATGAGACATATATACTTAATGTCGCTAAACATTAGCCTGCTATCAAAGGTTACTCCAAGGTCCTTAAAAAAGTAGCATCTGTCTAGAACCTGACTGTTGACGTTATAATCATCATATATTAAATAATTAGTCTTTCTTGTATTAGACACAACTTTACATTTAGATTTAGAAACATTTAAACTAAGACAGTTTCGCGAGCACCATGGAGAAATTAAGTCTAAATTATTCTGCAGCATGAGCCAATCATTAATTGACTCGACCGATGCGTAAATCTTAACGTCGTCAGCAAAAAACAGATGCAAACACTGGAGATCAAGAGACAAATCGTTAATAAAGATCAGGAACAATAATGTTCCTAGATTCGATCCCTGAGGCACCCCAGATGTGGCCTGATAATAACTCGACCTATAACCACGATATTCAACAAACAACCTTCTGTCCATCAAGTATGAACTCAGCGACAACAGTTCCTCCGATAGACTTACGGTCCTAAGCTTATCCAGAAGTACATAATGATCAACTAGTTCAAATACCTTCTGAATATCTGTATAGATTACATCAACTTGCCAACGAGTGTCTAATACTTGGGAGATATACTGAGTAATCAGGGTCAAGTTGGTAACCGTAGATCTGCCGCTCATGAATCCATGTTGATTGACAGAGATTGCACTCTTGACCGACCAGTAAATCGTATTATAAACTATGATCTCAAACAACTTACCGAAGTTGCATAGAATGCTTGAAATTAAAGCTCTGTTTGGTTTGCTGTACCTTGCTGAGACTCAAAAGTAGCAAACTGAACACGAAGTAGATTTTGGGATGTACAGGGGGCGGCAGAGAGGACGGACGTTTTTGGGATGGGTAGAGTACTCTCCGCCTCCGTCTACGAGAGAGGTGGGGAGGGTGCCGTTTGACTCGTGAGATCCTAGCATTATTTTACCAGTTGTCGTTATGGAGCCTTGGACGGTGGAGCACCGCGTTTTCGCCTATGATTGTTTCGTCGGAAATAATGAGTCAGTCATCGTCGTACAGCGTGAGTTTCGTCGCCACTTCAACATTCATCGGAATAGAGCTGTTCCCTCTCGAAACACCATCCTTCGTTGGGTTAAATCACTTCGCAGGCGTGGTGAACTGATCAACAGAAGACCAAGAGGAGCGCCGCGAACAGTTCGAACTCCTGAAAATGTTGAACGCGTTCGACAGGTCTTTCTTCGCAGTCCGACTCGATCGGCCCGGAAACATGCTGCTGCACTTCGCCTTAGTGATCGTTCGGTAAGGCGAATTTTGCATATGGATCGCGTGGAAGTCGCCAAAGTTGAGAGAGCGATGTGGAGAGAGTCTACGCGAACTTCTAAGAACGCCTCCAGCACTGCATCAACGATTTCGGCCACCACATGCCTGATGTGATTTTCCACACTTGACTGTCTCAAATGCTATTTCCTTGTGAACCTGATTCCATCAATAATAATTTGTTTTCGAGTAAAAATTAACTATTTTATGATTTTTTTTTAAAACCGTCCTTCCTCTCTGCCGCACCCTGTACAAGGAACTAGCATTGAAATATTTTGGGTGACTGTCCGAACAGCGTTTTCCTCCTTAACTATCTGCGATTTGACGATCTTTCTACTAGAAATGAAAGAAAGGAATTTGGTAAGTTGGCACCAACACGATCAACTTGACAAATTTGTCCAGAACTGCAGAAATGCTTACTGCATAGGGGCCAATGCAATCATAGAAATTACGGCACTGCTATGATGATGATCTAATATGTAGAGTTGCTTAGGTTTGCACTTTTCGATTCCTTTGTTCTAGCGTAGGTTATAAGTAAGAGATGCATGTAAACCAAGGTGACCAGTACTCATTCGTCTTCTGTTAAATAAAGTCGCTTTTTTAAAAAGTCGTTCGTTGTTTGCACATTCTTAATTGGCGCTGCGAACAGGATATCGGCGTACCGAATCGATAATCGGCGGTATTGATTCACGAGTATCGCTCAATCGAGACCGAAAAAGTGCAAAAAATCGTCCGGTGTGTTCGGGTACGATTTCAATCGTTTTGACGTCGATCACAAAGAACTTCGAAGGCTACACCGAGCAGGCACATCACCATCGAAGTACCAGGCCGAAATACTTGCTAAGTATTTTGGGAGCAGGCAACGACACTTGAGAAAACGACAGGAACTGACAGGAGCGAGGTGCTGGATCCACGGCAGGCAAGCTGTCAACCAGGAGGAGCTGTATTGGCCCAAGGAGGTATCTCAGATCTCTCCAAATGAAGCTGCTAGTGCCCAGTGTAGCGTAAGAAACAACATTTACAATTTTTGCTGTACTCAGTGATATTTCCATTTATTTCTCGAAACTTTTTCGCCCTCTATTGCTTTACATTTATATATATTCGTAAAAGTTATCTATAAGTAAACTTATTTAGTGACTTTAATTGCACATATTTAATGTCCGATTCTGAATTTGAATCTGTAGTCGAAAATACACCTGTTAGACAAGTTATTTTGACACCCTCACGTCTTAATTTTAATCAGTCAACCATGTCTCTTCAAGATTTACAAATTAAATTCAATGTAGCTAAGTATATGGTACCAGAATATCATGGAGGTCACAGAGATCTAATTTATTTTTTGGATAATTCAGAAAAGTTTATTGCAGAATTTGTTAATACACCTTTTGTTTCGTATGCTTTCCAATACGTTATTTCTCAGCTGAAAAGCGAAGTAAGAGATTTAGTGCATCTAACTAGTCCGAGAACCTGGCCAGATTTAAAATCATTATTATTATCCAAATATAAAGATCCTAGAAATGAAGAAACTCTTCTCACCGCCTTATATACGTCAGTTCAGAAACCTAACCAAAAATATGAAGACTTTTATCAAGAAATTAAATTTAAGGTACAGAGCCTGAAAGAATTTGCAAATTTAGAATACCATGATAATCCCGATCATATCGCTTTTAAATTGAGAGACTATGATAGACAGTCTTTGAGCTCCTTTATCTCTGGTTTGAATGAACCATATAGGTCTTATGTAAGACAGCAAAATCCTACTACAATTGATTCTTGTGTTCAATATTGTCGTGATTATGATAATTTGCAAATGCAAGTTGATTATAAAAATTTCTTAAGAACGAGCCTATATAAACGACAACAGCCTCAGTCTCAGAATAAAGTACAAGCTTCAAATCAAAATTTCCAAAGGTCTAATTTTAATTTTTCTCAAAAGCCCAATCAGTTTAGAGCCCAAAATAGTCAAACTTGGCTAGAGCCACAACAAACCTTCCCTACAGGTCCCATGCAACTACCACCACCTAAACAAAATTTTAAACCTCATTACCCTACAAACATTCAAGCTTTCAGACCACCACAGAATGTTTTTTCCAAAAAACCCATTCCAGGTCAACAAAAAAGTAATCCTATACCTATGTCTGTATCTACAGCACGCACACCGAAACCCCAGCAAAACCCATATCGTCAACAAATGCCCACTAGAGTTAATGCCTTTCAAGTAGGTCCCAAACCAAACCATTATTATGTCGAAGAAATTACTCATCTTGAAAATGAGGAAGAACAAACTTTTGCAGGAACGCCACAATATGAATCTGAGGAATATACCCAAGATTTCGATTCAGACTATATCCCCGATGAATCTTATTTTGAAAACAATGACGAAGAAAATTTTCCTTCGACGAGCCAGTCTCAAAATTTGACTTAGATATAAATAATTATCAAAAAACCCACCTTCCGTATATTTTTTGTTCTCAGTTTAATCTTATCATCTTAATCGATACTGGTGCATCATCCTCCCTGATCAATCCAGAAATTGCTTTTAAATATTTTCCAGATCGTATTTATGATCATCCTTTTGAAATTAATTCATGTACGTCCAATTTTAGAGGTCAATATGCCTGTAAAATTCCCATATTTTCTGAATGGAAGAATAAAACTGAAATTGAATTTTTAATTCTTCCTTGGCATTCACGTTATGACTGCTTATTAGGATTCTATGATTTACAAAAGCTTAATTGCTCTATTGATTTGACTAAACATCAGATTATTACTGATAAATGTAAAATTACTTATAACACTTCCTTTAAGCCAATTCGAGAAAACAATCCAGTTCAGTATAGTTA